GAACGCGATTTTGAGGAGTTACGTGAGGTTTAGAGAGTTCGACAAGGCGATTAATTTCTTGAAAAGGATGACCTGTCCGAATTTCATATCTTATTCGGAGGTGATAATCGGGCTCGTGCGGGCCGGGGGGAGTATGAAGGACGTGGATATGCTCGTGGGCGAGATGGTCCGTGATGGGTATGGGCTTGATACGACAATGTATGGGTTGTTGATCGAAGGCTATTGTCGAGAGGGGGATACGATGAAGGCGACTAGTGTTTTTGAGGAGATGATTGGAAAGGGGTTTGTAATTAGGAAGGATTGTTTGGCGGTTTTGGTGAAGGAGTTGCGGTCGAGGGGTTTGTTGAGTGAGGTGGAAAGTGTGTTTGGCTTGTTGAGGAGTAGTTGCGGGGCTTGTGATGTGGAAGCTTATGAAAGTGTGTTGAACTAGTATATGCTTCCCGTGAAGAACATTATGTATGTGCTTGGTAGAGAGTTCTTTCTATCTTCCTCTCCCCTCAGAGTCTTACCTCAAGAAGCTTGTTTGCTTCTGCATCATCATTCTATTGAGTATCTCTCCATTTAAACACACATCCACATTGGATAATTCATTGAAATATAAAACATATCGCATGTGGACCCCATAAGCATCTCGTCGGATGGCACTAAATGAATGAATGATATTTGTGGTGCCCATAATTTTTTCATTTAAATGAATGGACTACATTGGTATTAATGCTCCCATGTCCATTTAAATGGATTAAAAGTGCATCAATGTAGATGCTCTTACACCCAAAAAAATATGCAATCACCGGGTTCCTAGTGCAATATGAAGCCTAAAGGACGAACGATCGGGCTGAAAGCACAAACGTACGGGATTAGGGTTGCCAATCTCACGATCCACCTATCACCTAAGGACTCTTCCCAAGGAAGATTGACAATCAACTTTATCGTCTGAATCAAAACTGGCAAAACTGGTAGCACCGCCCAATCTGTCTCATCCAATTATGCATAGAAACACGTGGCGTCATCCTGCGCCCCTAGCTGGCACTTAGCATTTAATGTGTCATCACTTTTTTTGTATATAAATATTGACCCCTGAGATCAATCATCACATGAGGAGGAAAAAACAAGGTCAATCACAATCGCAATTATTATCATTCTTCCTCGATCTCCTTACACAATTCATGATAGATCTCCCAAAATATCATATACAAAAATACTACTCATACTTGGTTGTATTCACCATACAAGGTTTTTAATAAAATTCCAGAGAAATAATCTCTTTGCTGATCGCCACAGCCGATCGAAAATATCGATGTTGTTTTCCTTTCACACATTTATTTTATTTTGATATTTGAATATTTTGTATCGTTAAAAGTTAAAACACACTATAATTATGCAGCAACTTCTGATCAAAACTTTAAGCATATTTATCGTAACCGTTGGCGGTCGAAAGTGACAATTACTATTTTAAATAAAGTGTTAATCCACATTTATGTGCCTTCTTTTATGAAATTCTAAGGGGATGCTTGGATATAAAAAAATTTGGATTTGTTTGGATTTTTAGTTTGGTTAATTTTGAAAAATGTGGTATGGTTAGTTGTTAGTGGAAATATTAAAATAATATTTAAAATAAATAATTAAAGTTAATTTGATGTAAAAATAGGAGAGAGATGTGATTTTAGTTAAAATTATGTGAGTGGAAGAATAGTGAATTAAAATTGATGTGGTGGATAAGAATGATTGATTGGTATTTTTTATTTAGTTTGATAATATTAATAATAGTGAGATTGAATTTAAAATTAAATTAAAAAAATAGTTAAGTTAAAAATATTTTAATAATTTTCAAAATATCTGTATCCAACCATTCTCTAAACAATTTTGTCCATTTCATGGGCATCAATAATTGTCTATAAAGAATAGCATTAATATGCATTTTTAAAAGAAATATATTTATGAGTGAATATATCAATTTTGGATAAGGAAGACCTCTTTTGCCCTATATTTTCACACGACTTTAAAGATGTGAATAGAGTTACTGAAATAAATTTTTGCATTAATTTGAATAATAGTACTCTACATGTAACGTGGTACTATTCATGTGCTACAATTAATTTTTCAAATTTTAATTTTTTAAATTCATTTTTATTTCTACATATTACTTTGATAAAATATACATCATTATTTTGTTAAAAAAAAAAATAAATATTTATTTTATAGATGTATTTAAATTTTATTATGTACTGACAAATTTTATATAGAGTAACACGAACAATCGAAAAAAAAAAAAGTTAAATTTTGACATTCATTACTCTAGAGTATACAGTAGAGTACACTAAATTCAAGTATGAGATTGAAACTAATATTAAAGATGTCAATTGGAGGGAATATCGACAACAAATAACTTTGTGTATTTGGTGATCTATTTTCGAATAAAAATTGGTATTTTTCTAAATCGTATCATATTTTTTTTTTTTTTCGAAACGATAAAGATATTATATATAATAAAAAATGTACAAAAGAGCAGCCACAGGCTGAATACAAACAGCTAACAACTGAATATGAACAACCAACATCCGAATAAAAAAAAAATCATATCATATTTTTTAAAATATACATATAATTTATATTGCAAACCCAAGAAAATATAGAAAATATATGTATGCCTACTTTCTTTAAGTAATAATAATGAGAAATGCTCCAGTTTCGTTACGGTAACATTTCGTCGGTTTAACCGTTGGATCATATATCTTATCTAATTATACATGAATCCAACCGTTAAAACACCCGCGAGAACGGGACCATAGCATTTCCCAATAATAATTTCCAAAATGTGACTCCAAATCACTGCCACGTTGCCAGTCATCTGGACCAGAATCTTCTAGGCTTGTTCCCTTTTATTAGCCAGATCAACCCAGAAACTCCTTCCTCCTTCTCCCTCACTCCCTCCAGAAACTTCTCCTCCTCAATAAATTCCACCTCATCCACCATTAACGGTCATCAATAGAAAAATACACTCAAGAAATATACTCAGAAATTCTCCAAATACGAATCTGTTTGAAAACAAGATTAAGGCGTGAAAAAATGGACATCAGGTTCATGGGACTGGACGCGCCGCCCCTCCTCCACGCTCTCCACACCATGCTCGACTCGGACGAGCACGATGCCAAGCCCGGCAGCGGCCCGACCCGTACCTACGTCCGGGATGCCAGGGCCATGGCCGCCACCCCTGCTGACGTCATAGAGTACCCCAATGCCTACGC